ATTCCCGGGGGGCCGAAAGGCTGAGCCCGCCAGCCGAAGACCAGCCAGGACCCCAGGCCAAGCCGAAACCAGGCCCCCGCAACACACGAGCCGCGACTCCAGCCGTGGACGAAGAGGGAAGCCCCACGCGCGCCTAGGCCGTCGGTCGGCCCAGGGGCCGCCTCAAAGACCGACGTCCAGGCGTCGGGCCGCGCCGCCAGTGCTGTCCAGACCAGACCCACATGACAAGGATATAGAACGAGGTTCGGCAGGACTATGGGAGATCGCACTGCGGACAAGCCTGACCAGACGAAGCGCCAGCTCCCGCTCATCTGCGGCGGCCGTCGCTGGCGCCACGGGCGGCAGGGCACGCGAGCTCATCGTCATCATCGCGGAATGTTCCGCCCCCCGCCCGTCGACAGCCGAGCCGAAGGCATCCACCTGCTCTGGAAGGGCTGAGATCACTTGATGCCTCCTCGGCCTCTTGGCGTAGCAGTTGAGGGAAGCCTCGGTGACCCCCCCCCAGCTCTTCTTCACCTCCTTCCTCGAGTGGCCGCCAGACAAAAGGTCGTCCGATGCGCCCCCGCGCCACACCGCGCCTGAAGGCGCGCAGAATTGAAACGCCGCACCCGATGCCCAGGCGGGCAAGCTCCTCCCGGAAGACCTGCCTGATCTGCGACGGCGTGAAGTGCCACAGCTTCTCTCCAAGGGCTCCGCGGCGCTTCAAGGCCTGGAGGAGGGACCACAGGCTCGCGTCGTCGGCGCTCACGTTCTCGTCTGTGACTCCTGTCTCGCCTGGCCCGCCCGTCGACGCATCGTTGGCGGTCAGGCCAGTGCAGATAACCCTCGGTCGAACGATGCCTGGGCTCGATCAAGCTACCCGCCACGAGACGACGGGCCTCGTTTGGCCCGAGGTGCGCGTCGAAAGCCAGGCGCACGAACGCCGCCTCATGGAACGCCCGGTCCAGGATGAGCAGCCCGACCACCGCCGGCATCGCCAACATTGAAGGGGCCCCAGGACACACAAATAAATACACACAAATAAACAGATTCCCTATATTTTCCTATATTTTCTGGGTTTCTGTCTTCCCCCCCACTGCCCATATTTTCCCATATTTTCTGGGGAATCGAGGATTAATTGTGTCTGTGTGTTTTTCCTCCTGAAACATGGGCCTGGGCAGCCTCATCTGCGGCGGGACCAGGCGAGCCCAACCCTCGAGAGCACGGGCCACTCTCGGGAGAGGCCTCGAGCCCCGCCAGCGCGCGCGGCAGCAGGCGCCGCGGGCCCGCCACGGCCACGCTGCCCGTCGCCGCGTCGAAGCCGCCCAGGCACAGATCGCCGACGAAGACCATGAAGGGGCCCCAGGACACACAAATAAATACACTCAAATAAACATATTCACCATATTTTCCCATATTTTCGGGGTTTCTGTCTTCCCCCCCACTTCCCATATTTTCCTGTATTTTCCTGGGGATCGACGATTAATTGTGTGTGTGTGTGTTTTTTCCCCTCCTGAGACCAGCGGGAGGACGTCCAGCGCGGCGACACTCGCGAAGGACCGCCCCGTCCACGCGCACCGCTGGCGGAACCATTGCGGCGCGCGCTCGACACGAGTCCCGCGCGCGATCGGCGACCGCGGCCCTCCAAGAAGGACGTCTCGTCCGCCGGGAGCAGCGCCGCGCCAGGTTGCGAGTGGCCCCGTCAAAACCTCCAGCGCGCGACCGCCGTTCGGCCTCCTCGCCGTTGTGGCCCATGTCGCTGAAGTCCTTCCACTGCTGGGGAAACCTGCCCGACCGCGACGGGCCATCGGCGACGTCCGGCTCACTCGAGATCCACCGGACGATAACCTTGATCGCGCAGGGTGGCGATCCGCCTCAACAGGCGTCGCAAGCGCCGCGAACCTGATCGGTCATTGCCACAACCCCAAGCTAGAGCCAAATGAACAGCGAGAAAGCGACACCGATGCCCATGATTGCGAACGTTTCGAGCAGCGCGGCGGACGGCGAAGCACAGGGCCTCCGCCTCACACTCCGGCACGTTCCGAAATTTCGCGGCGACGGAGACTGGAACGGATGGCGGCCCAACCCTCGGCGCGACCCAGCAGCGACGGCGCCTCGCAGAAATCCGAGTCGGCGGCGGCGCCCCCGCGCGGCGCCGGGGGGCCATCCCCATCGTCGCGTTCGCCCCCACAGCGATGCCCGGAAGTGTCTTTGAAACAACCACCTCCCGAAGGATGCTTTAGGGCTGGGGGGTCGATTTGCCGACATGCCGTCTCTTGAGAGACCTGGCACAGTCCGTCGCGGCCGTCGGGGGCTCCAGAGTCTTCTTCGAGATCACGGGACCTGGCCGCCACGGCCTCCGAGACCTTGCAGCTCCACTCCTCGGCTGCTCCCCCATGGCTAAGACGACGACGGGGTCTGCTTGGACCAAGCACACTCCTCTTCCGCGCGACAAAGAATCCGACGCGCAAAGTCCCCGAGCCACGGCACACAGGCAAAGGCCCACATCAGAGGCAACGGGGAAGCCACTGCAAAAAACTCCCCCTCCGCGATCGCCAGAATCTCAACAGCGCTGAACCACCAACATGACTGAACCAGTACACCCCGTCAAACATCGACAGGCACTCTCTCCGCGTGATCATGGCCCACACGGCGCGGCCGACCAAAGCGGCGACGGCGCCGCGCGCGGCGGAGCCTCGAGCCGACAAGGCAAGGATGGCCCGGCGAAGCCTAGCCAAACGGTCGAGCCTCACACGCAAACTGCCAGCCTTGACCGAGAAGAGAACGCCCGTGAACACGCCCCCAGCCTGCGCCTCCACGACGTCGCGCACGGGCGGGCCCCTGGACGCGAGGAACTCCGCCAGGACGCGGGCATTCTGACTACCTACCAGACCACCCCAACCCAACCCGAAGACCCGAATTTCGGGTGGGGGGGGGGTAAGGGTTCCACATGTGTTTTTTCGATGTTTCCCGACCCCCCCCCACTGGAAATCGAGGGTAAATCTGAGCCTTCGGGGTTGGGTTGGGGTGGTTTGGTGGGAGGTGGCATTCGAGGTCGCGACGAAAGCCGCCTGGAACACCGCGCAGCAGTTGTCGACGCACACCCCGCCGCCGCGACGTCGCTCCTCGAGGCGAGCGGCATCATCGGCGGGGCGCCGGCGGCAGCGCGACGGGCCCCCCGGTCGAGGGGGAGAGAGGAGCAGGGCTGGCAGCTCGACGCCCTGCCAGGGCGGCCGCGGGAAGGGGAGGCAGGGCGGCGGGGCCGACGCCCCGCCGGGGGGGGGAAGGGGGGAAACCAGCGGGGCGAGGAGGGGGCGGTGGCGGCGGGAGGAGAGCGAGCAGGGGGGAGGCGAGGGCGCGCTCGCCTACACCTGACATCCGAGGCGGCGCATACACACACACACACACACACACAAACAAAACAAACATATATATATATATAGATATAGATATAGATATATACATATATATATATGTATACATATACATATATACATATATATACACACACACATGGCGCTCGCGGCCTCGCGCGCGGCGACGAGGCGGAGCAAGTGCAGACACAATGCGCGCGGCGGCCAGGCCCTTGAGCATTACTCAGGATGCGGTCCTACCGTCATCGGCCACCTGGGCGTGGGTGGCGGGGAGGGCGCCTGCAGTACCGTGGGCGGTGCCCGCACGGCAGCAAGACAAAAGGAGGACTGCATCGGCCATCTGGGCGTGGATGGAGAGGAGGGAGCACACGGACCGGGGGGCCTGCCCAATCGGCGAGCGTGATGGGCTGTAGACATCAACGCTCAGCGGACGCCGAGCAAAGTGCAGTGCCCCGCCAAAGGGTGCGAAGGAAGGATCCACACACACACACACACACGCACACCTCTTGGATCATAGTCCTTGTCGTCGACGTCCGTCGTAGTTCTCATCATCGTCCTCGACGTCCTCGTCGTCCTCGTCGTCCTCGTCCTCGACGTCCGCCCGTCGTCCTGGTCGTCCTTGTCCTCGTCGTCGTCGTCGTCGTCGCCGCCGCCGCTTTCGTCGTCGTCGTCTTCGTCGTCTCTGTCGTCGTTCTCTCGGGGGCGCGCAAGCATGGATCAGCCATCCACGGAGTCGGCGCGCGGTCGCCAAGTCCATGGATCGGGGGAGGTGCCCTCCCCAGAATGCGGCCGGTGCCGCCTCGCTCGGCGGCGGAAACCCGCGATGTGCCATGGAAACGGGACCCGTCGCTCGTCCACGCCCCCGCAGTCCATGTCTGAAGGGGCCCCAGAACACACAAATAAATATACACACAAAAAAAAAGATTCCCCATCTTTTCCCATATTCTCGGGGTTTTTGTCTTCCCCCCCACTTCCCATATTTTCCCATATTTTCCTGGGAGTCGACGATCAATTGTGTCTGTGTGTTTTTCGGGAGCGGCCAAGAGGGAGGTGTCCAAGAGGGGGGGGTGCAAATCATGACCGGCGGCATGTGCGCGGCCCAGCGGGGGAGCCAGGGACGTAATGAAACAAGAAGAGGCGCCATGAAATCTGGGGAAATATCATGGCCCCTGCCATGATATCCACCCCCCTCCTAGTCATCACCCCCCTCTTTTCCGCCCCCGAGTTTTTTCCCCTCCTGAGAGTTCTCGGACGCCGATCGACGCTTCGAGGCGCGCGCGCGCGCGCGATCTCCGGCGGCGGGGCCCCCCCTCGGGAGCGGCCACGAGGAGGGGGGTGCCCAAGGGGGGGGGTGCAACTCATGACCGGCGGCGCGTGCGCGGCCCAGCGGGGGGGGCCCAGGGACGTAATGCCTCCTCCTCCTCCTCCTCCTCCTCCTCCTCCTCCTCCTCATCCTCCTCCTCCTCCTCCTCCGCTTCCTCCCCCCACTCCTAGCCCTTTCGATCAGGGTCGGCGGCACCGGCCGTCAGGCCTCTCCAATATAAGAAGAGGCGCCATAAAATCTGAGGAAATCTCCTGGCCCCCGCCGCCACGACATCCACCGCCCCCCCGGCCACCACCCCCCTCTCTGCCTCCCCCGACCCCCGCCTGGCAGACTGCTCCGCCCCGCCGGGCCAAGAGTCGGCGGGCTCCGGGGCCCCCCGCTGGCCCTCCGGCAAGGCGGCCTCTGTCGGGCCGGCCGTCGGTGCGCACGGCGCGCGGGCGACGGAGACGACGACGACGACGACGACGACGACGACGACGACGACGACGATGACGACGACGACGACGACGACGACGACGACGACGACGACGACGACGACGACACCCACCACCACCACGACCACCACCACCACGAAGACGACGACGACGACGACGACGACCACCACCACCACCACCACCACGACGACGACGACGACGACGACGACGACGACGACGGACGACCACCACGACAACGACGACGACGACGACGACGACGACGAAGACCACGACGACCACCACCACCACCACGACCACCATGACGACGACGACGAACACCACCGCCACCACGACCACGACGATCACTTCCGAGGGCCCATGGGCGTTCTTGAAGGTTCTCGACGTTTCTGGAGGAAGCGGAGGGGAGGGAAGAGCAGGAGCAAGATGAGGAGGAAGAGCAGGAGAATCGGGAGGGGGGAGACGAGGCGGAGAAGCAGGGAGGAGGCTCATGCTTGAGTTAAGTTCCCGCCTCTTGCACCGTCAACTCGAAGTCGAGCTCCGTGATCAAGTGTACGGCAGGTGATTCGTATGCACGATGCATGGACAACGACTACGGTCTTGATCTCAAGCCCGAACTCGTCGATGCTTGGCTGTCTGCTCTTGAAGATTTTCTGGCCGAGCCCTCCATGACGCTGTAGTCCTGAGGATCCGCCACCGTGCCCGTGGAACTAATTGGAGTACCCTAATGCTCATAGATGTGCTGCTACTACTGCTGGTGCCGCTGCAGCCAAGGTTCAAGATTTTCCAGGGCGCTCCTGGGCGTATTTCCGGGAGCGCTTGGGGTGTGTCGCGTGCGTCGTCTGGAAGCCAAGAGGGTCCCAAGACGGGCCCAGAGGTCCCAGACGCCTAAGATGGCCTCAAGACGGCCAAAGAAGCCAGCAAGAAGCTACAAGGGCGCCCCCTGAGGCCAAACTCTTTAATTTGCCTTAGGTTATTGAAGGATGTTCGCCTTCTTGCATGCTTCAGCTTCCAACGCTCCAAGACCGCCCTAGCCTTACGAGCGCCCAGACTGCCCAGGAGGCCCCCCTGAGGGCCCAAAGACGGCCCAAGAGGCCGCAAGACGGCCAAAGAGGCACCCAACAGGGCCCCCGAGGGGCCCAAGAGGGGGAACACGAACGGACCTTCGAGCATTCCGTCCCAATATTTGCCCCGAGCCCCTCGGAGGCTCCAGAGGCTCCCCCAAGACGCCCCAAGAGGCGTCAAGAGGCCCCCAGGACGCCTCGAGAGGCCCCCCAGAGGCCCCCCAGAAGCCCCCAAGACCCCTCAAAGAGTCCCCCGAGAGACATCCCAAGAGACCCTCGTTTGCATCCAAGAGGCCTCTGAATCACAGCCCAGGCACGGTGACGGGATGGGCCGAAAGCCAGGTCGGACGGCCGATCACGTCTCGCTCATCCACTGTCGAGGTAGGCACACTACTCGCCACCTGTCGCCGACACGTACCATGCGCGTTCCGCCATCAGGTGTCCAATGACTTGCCAAACGCAACTCCTCGCAACCAATTAGGCCGCAATTCTCATTACGTTCGTCACGCAGCCTCCAACACTCCCCCTCTCCGCTCTGGGCTTTAAGGGTCATGGTCTCCTCTCCTGCCTTTCTCCTCCTCCTCCTCCTCCTCCTCCTCCTCCTCCTCCTCCTCATCCTCCTCCTCCTCGTTGTCATCAGCATCATCATCATCATCATCATCATCATCATCATCATCATCATCATCATCATCATCATCATCATCATCATCATCATCATCCTCATCATCATCATCATCATCAGCATCATCATCATCATCATCATCATCAGCATCAGCATCAGCATCAGCATCATCATCATCAGCATCATCATCCTCATCATCATCATCATCATCATCAGCATCATCATCATCATCGGCAGCAGCAGCATCAGCAGTAGCATCACCACCACCACCACCAGCAGCAGCAGCCATCATCATCAGCAGCAGCATTATCGCCATCATCATCAGCAGCAGCATCATAATCATCGTCAGCATCATCATAGTGATCATCATCATCATCATCATCATCATCATCATCATCAGCATCATCATTATCATCGACAGCAGCAGCAGTATCAGTATCAGCATCATCATCATCATCATCATCATCATCAGCATCATCATCATCATCATCATCAGCATCAGCATCAGCATCATCAGCATCATCAGCAGCATCACCAGCATCATCATCAGCATCATCATCGTCAGCGCAACATCATCATCGTTATCATCGTCATCAGTAGCAACATCATCATCATCATCAGCATCTTCATCATCATCTGCATCATCAGCAGCATCAGCATCATCAGCATCGTAATCATCATAATCAGCAGCAGCAGCATCACCACCACCACCACCACCACCACCATCATCATCATCATCATCATCATCAGCAGCATCATCATCATCAACATCAACATCATCATCATCATCATCATCATCAGCATCATCATCATCATCATCATCACCAGCATCATCATCAGCCCCCTCCCAGACCTCCTTATGCTCCTTCCCTCTCCTCTGGCCTCCTTCCTCCTTCCTCCTTCCTCCTCCTCCCTCATTCATCCTTCCTTCTTCCTACTTCCTCCTTCCTCCATCCTCCCTTCTTCCTCCTGCCTCCTTCCACCTCCTTGCTCGTCCTCCTCCTCCTCCTCCTCCTCCTCCTCCTCCTCCTCCTCATTCCTCCTTCCTCCTTCCTCCTTCCTCCTTCCTCCTTCCTCCTCCCTCCTTCCTCGTCCCCTCGTCCTCCTCTTCCTTCCTGTTCCCTTCTTCCCCTTCTCCCTCCTCCTCCACCTCCTCGTCCTTGCCGTTCCTCCTCCTCCTCCTCCTCCTCCTCCTCCTCCTCCCTCCTCCTCCTCCTCCTCCTCCTCCTCCTCCTCCTCATCCTCCCCCTCCTCTTCCTACTCCTCCTCTTCCGCCTCCTCCTCCTCCTCCTCCTGCCCATCCCCCTCCTCCTCTTCCCCCTTTCCCCGCCTTCTCCTTCTCTTTTTCGATGTTCGTCTCCAGGTGTCCCCCACGACTCCTGGGACGCGCTCTGACAGGAACTACTAAGAGGATCCAGTCGCAGGTCCAAATATAAGTGGGGGGGCACTCGATCCCAGACATTCGGTCCTCGAACCTCTATCCTCGATAGTCGATCCTCGATGCTTCGACCCTCGCTCATCGACCCTCTATCAGCTGGCGGCGGCGAAGGCGAAGGCGCCAGCGGATCCTCGATCCTCGACCCTCGGCCGAACCTCGATCCTCGGCCGATCCTCGATCCTCGATCGATCCTCGATCGATCCTCGATCGATCCTCGATCGATCCTCGACATTCGACCCTCGATCGATCCTCGACCTTCGACCCTCGACCCGCGCGATGGGCGGCGCCGACGGCGGAGGCGGCGAAGCGCGCGCCTGCCGCTGCAGCGGCGGCGCCGGCGCGTCGCGCTCGCGCACCGAGGTCAGCGACGGCGCCCTCGAGGAGCAGACGGACCTGCCCCGCCGCGCTCTCCCGCCCTGGGGAGGGGGAGGGGGAGGAGGGGGAGGGGGAGGAGGAGGGGGAGGAGGAGGAGGAGGAGGAGGAGGAGGAGGAGGAGGAGGAGGAGGAGGAGGAGGAGGAGGAGAGGAGGAGGAGGAGAAGGAGGAGGAGGAGGAGGAGGAGGAGGAGGACGGGGGCACGCGAAGCAAACGCGCGATCCTCATGGTTGTCGGGTGCAAACGCGCAATCCTCATGGTTGTCGGGTCCTCGCTCTGGATCCGTAGCGCCCCCAGTCACTCCTCACTCCCGCCTCACTTCTCCTCCCCCTTCCTGCCGCTGCCTTCCGCGTGCCCAGCGCGGCGCACCCCTCACACGCTTCGTGGCCCCAGAGGGAGCTCCAACTGCGGTACCAGCTAGGGCGTTCGCATGGCGGCACCACCTCATGTCGGCACACCCCTGACACGGTTCGTGGCCCCGCAGGGAGCTCCACCCACGGCCCCAGCGAGGTCGTCCGCATGGCGGCGCCACCTCCCTTCGGCACACCCCTCACGCTTTTCATGGCCCACGGAACAGGTCCACATGCGGCCCAAGTGAGGTCCTCAGGCTCGTGCTGGCCTGCCCTCACCTCTTGCAGTGACTGGATGAGTCTTCCAGAACCCTCTAATTCGCTGGCCCAACGGGCCAGAGTTAGGTCGGGCATATCCCCCTACAGGCGGATTTTGGACGGAAAAACAAAACAACAAACAACAAAAATGCTCATAAATTGTCCAACAAATATTTGTTTGACCGACTATTGTTTGACTGTTTCTCATTATTCCTCCTGTAGAGGGACACGCCCGACTCAAGGCCAGAGGCGTACTGCAATCTCCAGATACAAGCTTCGATGCTTCCAGCTCGCGCGCGCGAGGCGGCCCCTGGCCGTCCCAGCGCTGCAAACACCCCAGGCGGTCCCAAGGCGGTCCCACGGGGCGGTTCCCAGGCGGCCCCCAGACGGTAGGTGTCACGGATGCCAGCATTCCCGGAGGCGGTCTTCACGGCCCCCGGGAGCGCTGCGGGAGCGCCCCGAAGGAACGCTGGGGGAGCTCCAAGAGGTTATTCGAGCCGGGATCCATGGGTGGCAGGTCCCACGATGGCCTCCATGCATTCCCAGAAGGGGCGCGTTGAGGGCGGCTGGCCCCACACCGACCACGGCCACCGCAGCCAGCACGGCAGCGGCCGCCGCCCCGGCGGCGGCAGGCGCCGCGCCCGCGGCGGGCGCAACCGCGGGCGGCGCCGCGGCGGGAGCTGCCAGAGCCCCCGCGGCCGCTGCAGGCGCGCCGGCTGCAGCCGCCGCCCCCGCGCCAGCGACGGGGCCGCCCAGGGCCGCGACGAGGCCGGCGAGGCCTCCACCTGCCGCGCCGGCGGCGGCGGGAGCCGCCGCGGCCGGCGCCGCGACCAGCGCACCTGCAGCCGCTGGAGCCGGCGCGGCAGCGCCTGCTGGGTTGGCCAGCGCGTGCTGCCCGGAGGCCACCCCGAGGATGGTGCCCGCCGCCAAGTCCAGCATCAGCGCTCCTGGAGCCGGAGGAGGATAGCCCGCTGCCACCGCTCGCCGCGACCCACGGCGCCCCAGGCCTCCGCGGCCGTCGGGAGGCGCCTGAAGCGGTACACGTGCCCGCCCGCGAGGCCGGGAGGGTAACCTCCCTGCCTGGCCAGGCGGACCACCTCCACCACGTCGGGCCCCGGCGCGTTCGGCTCGTCGTAGTCGCCCCGGCAGATCAAGCCCGCGCCCTTCGCCTCCAGCGCCGCGGCCAGGCACTCGGACAGGGGTGGCCTCGTCCGCGTCCTCGCCCAGGAACGCCCCGCGGGCGCCCGCCGAGCGCGGCTCCGCCTGCGGCGGAGGCTGAGGCGCAGCAGGTGGCGCCCACCACCAGCGAGCCAGGCCTATGGCGCCCAGGTGGCAGAAGAGGTGAAGACTGAGCCCTGATCGCATGGGCTCGGGCAAGCCGCTCTCCTTCAAGACTTGAGCGTGGCAGTTGCGGCGGGATCCAGGATGCGCTATGCCTAAATATGTGAAATGTGACATATACATGAATATATATATATATATATGTATTTATATATACATATATAATATATCACGCCGCCAAGGAGCCCCAAGAGACTCCCAAGAGGTCCCCAAGAGGCCCCCAAGAGGCCCTAAAGAGGGCTCCAGGGCCGGCGGCATGAGCGAAGCGATTAAATAATATATCACGTTGCAAATCAAATCCAAAAGAACAGGAAGCTTTTGGCTGTAACGCAACCAGCACAAGCACCCAGGACGAGGGAGGAAGGAGATTGTGTGGTATGCGGCACGGTAGCCTACCTCCTCTCTTTGCCGGCAATGACCGCGCCGCAGAGGTCAGAAGCGGATGGGGACGACCAGGGAAACGATGATGATGACGTTGATTGTAGGGGAGCGGCACGGTGGCCTGCAAGAGGGAGCTTCTGAGCTACTGCACTTAGACGCAGTCTCTCCTCTCGCCCGCCCCCGCGGGGGGGCCAGCGCTGGACCGGACCAGTCCTGGACCCTCCGACCACACTGCGCTCCACGACAGGCGCCTCCGAGGTGAAGGTGTGCCGTCGTCCACCTCGATGCCGCACGGGGCTCGTCGCAGCGCGCGCTTTGGCAAACACAGCGCCCGTGAGGAGGGAGGGAGGACGAAGAGGGAGGGGACCGGACGGAGGAGGACCAAGACGAGGGGGTGGAGGGGAAGAGGGGGAGGAGGGGGAGGAGGAGGAGGAAGGAGGAGGAGGAGGAGGGAGGAGGAGGAGGAGGAGGAGGAGGAGGAGGAGGAGGAGGAGGAGGAGGAGGAGGAGAGGAGGAGGAGGAGGAGGAGGAGCCCCCCAGCCCCCGCCCTGCGACCCTGGGCGCGACGAGGCCACGGACCCCGCCCGCGAGCCCGTGGCGGAGTGGAGGCTGTGGGAGCCGGTCCGCGTGGACGCCTCCCAGAGCTGCCGCGGGGTGGCGGCCTGCGCCGGGCAGAGGCGAGCAGCGGCAGTGGTGGGGCAGGGCAGGGGGCAGGAGGGGAGAAGGAGGGGGAGGGGGGGGGGAGGGGGGGGGGGAGGGGGGGGAGAGAGGAGGGGGAGGGAGGGGGGGGCGGGATGGGGAAACAGGGGGAGGAGAGAGAGAAAGAGAGAGAGAGAGAGGGAGAGAGAGAGAGAGAGAGAGAGCGAGAAAGAAAAAATAAAAGAGAGAGAGAGAGAGACCAAGGGAAGGCAAACAACGATGAAACGATGATCGCACAAGCCTTCTGGGCGGAGGCGGTCTAAGGCGCTTCCTCTGTCAAGCCCCTCTGCCGATCGAAAGGGGGGGCACGAGGCCCGGCAAGTGTGGCTGCCGTGCTGGGCCGCCGTGCTCCTTGTATTATTGCCTGGTCTACCGCACTGTCACGGCAGAACATGCATGGCAATCTCCTGGTCCCTCCCTCCTCCTCCTCCTCCTTCTCCTCCTCCTCATCCTCCTCCTCCTCCTTCCTCCTCCTTCTCATTCTCCTCTTCATTATACTTATCCTCCTCTACCTCCTCTTTCTTGCTCCTCCTCCAGCTTTTCCTCCTCCGCCTCCTCCTCCTTCTCATCCTCCTATGTATCCTCCTCCTCCGTCTTATTATTACTAAGATTGGTCAGTTTGCGTCGTAGAAATATTGCTGCTAGTATTAGGTAGTAGTAGTAGTAGTAGTAGTAGTAGTAGTAGTAGTAGTAGTAGTAGTAGTAGTAGTAGTAGTAGCACTAGTATTGCTAATAGCATGCGTATTAGCGTTGTGTATCTTAGTATTGTAAGTATGATACCGTTCATAGTACTACTCCTATTCCTGGTAGTAGTGGAATTAGTTTGTTATCAAAAGTGCAGTACTATAAATAATGTTAACATGATTGTTATTATTATTGCATTGCCATTATTACTAGCATGTGCAGTGGTGAATTATTCGATGGTTATTCGCATTAGCACTGCTAGTATTATCATAATTAAAACTAGTACGGCCAGCATTCATATTAGACCCTACGAACACTACCTGTGAAAACATGTTGAAAACTGGATATGAATAAAATGTGTTTTACTATTGTTAGTTTTATCAACAATAGTGGTAGTAGACGTGTTGTTCTTATGGTCTTCATATCATGCTCAATCTTCAACACAATAGTATATTTGATTATTCCTGTACAACTATTAACACTGATGGTAAGCATAGTCGTACGCGTTGTCGTTGTCGTCGCCGTGCTCGTCTTGTAAGTTATAATAATATGATTAGCGAGATTAAAAGTAGCTGCATTCGTAAATATAGTACAACGATCATTGTTATAGCTAGTAGTAGTAGGATTAAAGTTACTATTATTCCGCTTCATCCTCTTCTTCCTCCTCTTCCTCTTCCTCCTTCGTATCCTCTTCCTCCTACGCATCCTCCTCCTCTTCCTCCTCCGCCGCCGCCACCTCCTTCTCCTCCTCCTCGTCGTCCTCCTATCCTTGTTCCTTATTAGAATATACTTATTAGAATATACTCCTACTCCCCCCTCAGGCCGGCAGATAGCGGGCGCATCCGGGTGGTCCCATCCTAACCTGTAAAAAACAATACAAAATCAACATTTTTCTTATTTTTCCCTCTCGACATGGACGTCCTGTCGTCCACGGCGATAATCCATTGCAAAAAATACCACAAAGAGCACACGCGCGCGTTCATGTCAGAATCCTACCGAACACCGTGTGTTTGCAAGCATTTCAACATAAAAACATCAAAAACCCAATGCTTTTTCACAAAAATTGTACAAATTTCCCGCCCGGGCTCTCTTGCTGAAATCATAGGAAAACCATAGGAATCTTAAGAATTCGGTCAAATCCAGCGATTTCACGTCATCGCGCGGTGCACTCGCGATGCTCTGTCATGCACCCAGGCCGCGAATCCTGTGCAAAAAATACCACAAAGAGCACACTCGCGCGTTCATGTCAGAATCCTACCGAACACCGTGTTTTTGCAAGCATTTCAACATAAAAACATCAAAAACCCAATGCTTTTTCACAAAAATGCTTTGGGGTGTCCTGTCAGACCGTCGGGCTTCCTCCGGCCACCTCTGGCTTCCTGCGGTGTACCGGGCCATTCTCGACTCGTCTGGCAATGCGTGCGCGGCATTCAACACGCGCTCGCCAGTTCCCGTCGGCAACCGCCATCGCGGCCGCATCAGCTGTACCAAACCGGCTGGCCGGTGTGACTTCGGCCCCCAGTTGTGCCAGCTTTGCTTCTTATGTTGTGGGAGGGCGGGTGGGACTGGGCATGCCATGCTTGACTCGCTCGAGCTGGCTAGCTTGACTCCTACTCCTACTCCGACTCCTCCTCCTACTCCTAATCCACCTACTCCTCCTCCTGCTCCTATTCCTACTCCTACTCCGACTCCTCCTCCTACTCCTACTCCGACTCCTACTCATACTCCTACTCCTCCCCCTCCTCCTCCTCCTCCTCGTCCTCCTCGTCCTCCTCGTCCTCCTCCTCCTCGTCCTCCTCGTCCTACTCGTCCTCCTAATCCTCCTTATCCTCCTCCGCCTTCTCCTCCTCATCCTCCTCCTCATTCTCCTCCTCCTCCACTTTCTCCTCCTCCTCCGCCTTCTCGTCCTCCTCTTCCTCTTCCTCCTCTTCCTCCTCTTCCCCGCCTCCTCCGCCTCCTCCTCCTCCAACTACTCCTACTCCTGTTCCTGTTCCTGCTCCTGCTCCTGCTCCTACTCCTCATCCTATTCCGCATTTTCCTTATCCTTGTCCTCCTCCGCCTCCGCCTTCTCGTCCTGTTCCTCCTCCTCCTCCTCCTCCTCCTCCTCCTCCTCCGCCTCCTCCTCCGCCCTCCTCCTCTCCCTTCCGCCTCCTACTCCTCCTGCTCCTCCCTCCTCCTCCTCCTCCTCCTCCTCCTCCTCCTCTTCCTTCCTCCTCCTCCTCCTCCTCTTCCTCCTCCTCCGCCTCCTCTCGTTCTCCTCCTCGTCCTCATCCTCATCTTTTTCCTCCTCCTCCTCATCCTCCTCATCCCGCATCAGCATCAGCATCAGCATCAGCATCAGCATCATCATCATCATCATCATCATCATCATCATCATCATCATCATCATCATCATCATCATCATCATCATCATCATCATCATCATCAATCATCATCATCATCATCATCATCATCAGCATCATCATCATCATCATCATCATCATCACATCATCATCATCATCATCATCATCATCATCATCATCATCATCATCATCATCATCATCATCATCATCAGCATCAGCAGCATCATCATCAGCATCATCACCATCATCATCATCATCTCATCCTCAGCATCATCATCATCATCAGCATCATCATCCGCATCCTCATCCTCATCCTCATCCTGCTCATCCGCCTCCTCCTTCTCCTCATCATCAGCATCATCATCATGATCATCAGCAGCATCAGCATCAGCATCAGCGTCAGCATCATCATCATCATCATCATCATCAGCAGCATCCGCATCAGCATCATCAGCATCAGCAGCAGCAGCATCATCAGCATCATCATCAGCATCATCATCATCACCATAATCAGCATCGTCATAATCAGCAGCATCATCATCATTAGCAGCAGAATCGGCATCAGCACCAGCACCAGCATCAGCATCATTATCATCATCGTCATCATCATCATCATCATCATCAGCATCATCATCATCATCATCATCAGCATCGTCATCATCATCATCATCATCATCATCATCATCATCATCATCATCATCATCATCATTAGCAGCATCGTCATCATCATCATCATCAGCAGCAGCATCATCATCATCACCATCATCGGCAGCATCAGCATCAGCATCAGCATCAGCATCATCATCGTCATCAGCAGCAGCATCATCATCATCATAATCAGCATCGTCATCATCATCATCATCGTCATCATCAGCATCATCCTCATCATCATCATCATCATCATCATCAGCAGCATCATCATCATCATCATCATCATCATCATCATCATCATCATCATCATCATCATCATCATCATCATCATCCTCATCCTCATCATCATAATCATCAGCATCATCATCATCATCATCATCACAAACATCACAATCACCATCATCCGCCTCATCATCATCAGTATCCTCATCATAAGCATCATCATCACCAGCATCGTCATCATCATCATCGTCATCATCGGCATCATCAGCATCATCACCATCATCATCAGCAACAGCATCATCATCGTCATCATCATCATCATCATCATCATCATCATCATCATCCGCATCATCATTATCCTCATCATCATCAGCGCCTTCATCATCATCATCATCAGCAGCAGCAGCATCATCTGAATCATCATCATCAGCATCAGCATCATCCTCATCAGCAGCATCATCAGCATCATCATTATCAGCAGCATCATCATTATCGTAATCATCCTCATCAGCAGCCGCGTCATCCTCAGCATCATCATTATCATCGTCCTCATCATAATCATCATCATGATCAGCATCATCATCATCATCATCATCATCATCATCATCATCATCATCATCATCATCCCCCTCATCCTCCTCCTTCTCCTCCTCCTCCTGCATTTCTTGTCCTTATAGAGAGTTTTCCCTGTCGCACCCCGAGGCCAATTTTTAGGGCCGGCCGAGCGTTTTGCCTGAGACTTCCTCACCACGTATGACCCTGAAAATTTTAATAAAAAAGGCAACATATTCACAGAGATGGAGGGCGGGTCGTTTTCAAAACGTTTTCAAAAAATGCAAGAGCTTCACGGATTCAGGGCGGGTGGTTTTCAAAATGTGGCTATCGCCTTAGCGCCGCGTACATTCGTTCTACAAGTTTGCAAGAGCTTCACGGATTCAGGGCGGCTCCTTTTCAAAATGTGGCTCTCGCCTTAGCGCCGCGCACACGTATAAGTTTGCAAGGGTTTCACGGATTCCCATGATTCAGGGTTATGAAGGTGCGACATTTGTGTTGACTCGCGGTGT